TAAATAATTTTTGCACTTATTGTTCGAACTTTGAGCGGAATCCGTCTTAAAGAATCTTTACAGATGTTTACGTCTCATTTTGTGGGGAAAATTGGACGTCGAATTCCGGAGTACAAATGTTTTTTAACATTTCGCCATGAATCACCATTTCCTTCCAGTCTTGAGGTAACTGCCTACACGGTCGAAAACAAGATGGCCGCGAAAAAAACGCTGTCATAAATTAAGGCTTGTCTTTCAGTTTGTAGGAACACTTACGAGTTATTTCAAAATTTAGCATTTGCAAACGTGTTTGTAACGGTTTATTTACTCAGTTTGAAACTATGCAAAATATGTGAGAACCAAGCTCGTATCAAAGGCATGAGGTTTTCAGTGTACTTTTCAAATTGTTTTTTAAAACTACACTGAAAACCAAAAAGCTTCACATAAATATAATGCAGAATAGTTTCAATAGTTTTAATGTCTCACTTCACACTGGCAGGGTACTCCCTTGTATGGGCTATAAAGGTATGTGCGGCCCTAAAGGGTATGGTTTTTCAGCTGTTTTGGTCATTAATAGGGTATCGATTTTGGCCATTTTGGTCATAACAAATATAAATAGGGTATGGTTGTTGCACTCTTGTCTTGAATTGGGTATGTCTTTTAGAAGAAGCTACTTTTTCATCATTATCGATAAGACCATAACAGAAGTCCTCCACAATATTATGTTTAGGGCAACTGTGCCAGCCACAACGGTCATAAATAGGATATCAAATTTTTTGTCAGGTCATGAATAGGGAAGGAAATTCGGATTTTGGTCACAAACAGAGTAAGATTTTTGGGAAGCGGGCCGCAAACTTCCACCCAACTATTCTGGGACTTCAAGCTAGTGTCAAACAGACTTCAACTTGAAAGTTAGAACAACCTTGCCCAGCATGATAAACAGCACCACATAAAAGTACTGTTCCATCACTTTTGCTAAAAAAAGAGTAGCTTTCACGCCTTGTATTGCAAAATAAACAGTGCTTCACGACAAAAGAAAGTACTGTTGAATAGATTTTTAGGCAAGCAGAAGAGTGTCATACGGTGCACAGAGACTCGAAAGTCAGAACCAAGTTTAGTGATCTTTGGTTTACAAGAAAATGAGAAATAGAGAATACGGACTGGCATGATGGAAGCCACGCTGATCTGACTGAACGATTGTTAACCGTTGTTAGTTTGCTATGGCTTCTTGGTATCACAAAAAAGCATTGAAAATGACGTAGTGATCTCGCAAAGAGAGAAATATTAAATCAGTACCTTACATATTCCATTCATAGTTTTGATACAGTAAAAATATTTTAAAAGTATCAGAAGTTCCGATTCAAATTGTAATTACATCTACTTATTTTTATCTCCTCCTGAATGGAACAATTAAGTGTTTACTTTCCAAATTAATCTTTCAAACACTCGAAAAGACTGCCAGTCATTTAGGAACACAAGCTGTCCGCCTCGATAAAAACCCGCCTTTATTGAGCGTTCGAATGGCGTTTCGTGAACGTTACCATATTTTGACTTCTTGTTTGCGAAAAGTCTGACGCTGCAATTGCAAATATTTGGTTTTGCACGGTGCGGGCATTACCACGCAGGTTTACAAAACAGGAATGTTGCGTTTATGACTCATACCGATCAACGTTTCCTATAGGTTTGAGAAAACGCCATACAACAGCCATAGTGGCGTCATTTCCGAAGAAGCTCAAAACAGCACGCATCATAAATCGGATTGTAAACAAACCCTAAAATAAATCTCTGCGGTAACTATACGCATGTGCGACATTTTTGTACTTCAAATTTTCGCGCCTGCTTTAAAATGGGTAAAAAATGCCTTTTTCGAAAAGCACTTCTTTCAAAGTGGTATAATCTGGCCGGGTGGCTGTAGCTGCTGCTTCGGAATGCAGGTTTTTTTTCACGCCAAATTATTATTCTAATATGAGAGAAGCACCAACTGTGGAAAAGTGCTTGCTGAAATGCTGACACATCAGAGCGAAACCACGCACAAATCGTTTCCGTGGTGCCTAAATTAGCCAAAACAAACAAGCTCTCGATAACATGCACTTTCCTGTTTTAGGAGGAAATGTTTTCCTGATAACGAAAGTCCGCCGGCGACACCTATTGTAAATAAACAAGCATTTGAAAGGCTTAATTCTGGATGAAACTAAATGTTACAAGACGCCATTAAACTGGTACATTCCTAGCTACGAAAATCTTTCCAAGCTAATTACCTTTGTACATGTGGCCTGGGAAACTAAGAACGTTTCGAAATATCATTACGCTACATTCCTAGCCCGTAAAATCTCGTCAACACTAATCACACGGTTTTACAAGCTACATTTTTTTTTTTTTTTTTTTCACCTTTGCGCATATCGAATCTAGACCTTCATTCATTATGATCAAAACAAAACAAAACAAAACCAATTCACACTTTTTCAACGGTTATTTCTGAAATACGAGATTTAAGAATGTGCCTATCACACTGCACAAAGCTCAGAACTTTAATGTTGTTTTTATGAGGAAATTATATTTCATTCGTGCGATTACTCACGCTCGTTCATTAATAGCCTAGACTCTATAGGGCATGCATAGTTTTCTAGCGTTCAGTCAGGAACAAGTTAGGAAAATTCAACGTTTTGGGACTTTTGGTGTAAACCATGCGCTCTTCCCTGACCAATGTTCGGAAAAAGCTCGTACGAACGAAGGCCGGAGTCGATAAAGCGGGGGTAATCGAGCCCATCTCGAAAAGTGTGTCTTTCCAAACATAGTTAATAGAGGAGAAATGTTCCAAAGAAGAACGGAGCGTTCACTGGCAGATTCATAAATACGAATAGCACGACAACAGAAGAAGTGTGCTTACATTTTTCAAATCTCGAAAGTTGAAGTAAGTCTGTAAACGGGCAACGAAATCTAAACTGCTTTGGTTTTGTCGTCTTATTTCAAAAGTTTTATTTACCTACTGCTGTAGTATTCCGGAAAACACCCTAGATTTTCAAGAATGATACCGTTTATATTTTCGTATCCCTTGTTCTAAAGGGTCGATTTTTGAAAAAAAAAATCTACAATCTCTGCCTTTAGCGTGACCTTTAATCAAAGAAATCAAATATACGTGGAAATGTTTGTGATAAACATCCGCAGGCGACGGTACAGGTCTATCTGCTGAAAGTATGTTTTCATTTTGGCTTTGAAGGGTGAAACTAATTATAATACATTTGGCAATACCTTAAACGTGTTACAAAGTGAGCACCGCATTGCCAGCTTACAAAGAAATTTTTAAATAAGCCGTGGACATTTATTGTTGTAAGGATTTAAGGGTGTTAAGAGGACAGATGTTTCTTGGAATACTTAAAAAAAGTGATGTGTCGCTACTCGCCCCCTCAGTTCTTGATCACGAGGTTGAATTATGTGATGACATGAACACACAAGCCTAAATAAGGTTCGTGAGAAAGAAATATTGTTTGAAATGGATATCAGTGTTTTAAAATTAGTTCTGGCCTGGAGTCAATTACAGTACACCATTTGACTTTATCGAGAGATTTCAGGAAGACCTCCCACCAACACCTTCAACGTTTTTATGACAGGTGGCATGGTAGGTCACATATATAGGCTTTTCGAGTTTTAGACGAGCTGGCTACAACCCATTACAAAGTACGGATAAAATTTGCCTTAAAACGACCGAAACTTCTAGATAACGAAACATAAACCCTTCATAACCACAAAATAAACTGCACAGGGCCAAGGATGGCTAAAACTGAACAAGATTAGCAAGGATTAAATGGAATAATAACTGGATTTGATAGAGGGATAGAAATCGAGATTAAGAACAAACGCGTGGCGGCCATTAATGACAAAAACATCCAGAACATGCTTGTTACGTAACAAATACCTCATTATTAAATACAGAGCCGATAAATTACCTAAAAATTCTAAAGATTTAACAAAGCTAAAATATACTCATAAAGGCCAAGTAATTTGAGAGACATAGCTTGATGCAAGCTCAGCTAGAAGTCAAAAGAACCAAAGAACCACTTCACGCTCCTCAGCCCAACCCAGATTATTCTCCATGGCTTCTCGTCGTCATACAACCCTCATAAAAAAAATTTTAAAAATGGCTCCCCTAGGAGTTCCTAGACACTTCTTGTCTTAATTGGATAAATCACTTTAATACGTATGTCTCTTAATTCTCCGTCTCTTTAACCTGTCTACAACTCAAACCGGGTGAATTTCATTAAGCCCGTCGCAAGACATTTGAAGCAATGAAAACACCACACGGGTGATATCTTCACTCCGTATCACTTTACCGAAAACGCTAATAGCAAACGAACCCTTTGCACTCTACACTTAGACCTAGTCTAGCTTTGCATTCAAGCATGATTGGTAACCATCTTTGCTCTTTCACGCTACGCGAGTCAATAAACAACGAGCCTCTTTTCCCCTATCGTTTGAATTATGCCTCTCGCCAATCGACGACCTAACGAAAGCCTGAAGAGGGTTTGGAGCTATTACTATATGTGGTATATGTTACACATTGTGCGCCCTGCACTTTTGTCTCGGAAACAGCCTGAAGTGTTTTTAGTTCTAGCGCAAGCATGCAATCGTTCCTTCAAACAGATGAACAGTTTTTAAAAACGTTCTTTGGGGTACCCCGTTAAGGCCAAGATTGCGGACATTTTCTTTTCACATTTTAATGTGTTGTTAAGTCTGATTGATGAAGTTGACTTCATAAAAGGTTTTATTACTGACGGTGACAAGCAAATTAATTTTCAGCTAATTACATTTACGTTTCTCATGTTTTGCCGTGCGCGCAAAATATATACCGCGTTACAGTCAGAACGGCCAGTCCGGGTGGCGCGTGGCCTTATGGTTAGTGGGCTCGTCTCCGGATCGAGTGGTCTGGGTTCGAGCCCTGGCCGGGGACATTGTGTTGTATTCCTAGGCAAGACATATTACTCTCACAGTGCCTCTCTATACCCAGGTGTATAACTTAATGCTTGGGGGTAACCCTGCGATGGACTAGCAACCCCTCCAGGGGGGAGTAGAAACACTCGTAGTCGCTTCATGCTACAGTATCCGAGGTAGGCTCCAGCCTGGTGGGATACTTGGCTAGTATGTGGATTTAACTTTACCTTACAGTCAGAACAGTCTGATCAACATTTCAGTCGGTAGTAAAGAAATTTGCAAACAGTCAACTAAAAGATGCCAATTTTGATTTCGATTGTGGTAGAGTGGGAATGGTAAGAAAAGCAGGGAGGAGAGGGCAAGAATTGAGAGTTTCCACCCAGTCTTCCCTCGCCATTCACATCAAAGACGGCTGCCCAATAGGCTAAGCTTGATTAGTTGGTGGTGTATGCCTACACAAAACGTCCCCAGTCTAAATCTGCCAATCAAGATTTTAACAAATACAAAAAGAAAACCCAAACAACAAATTTGGCACTTGAAGCAATTTCACGACGAATAGTAACGATTCATTCCTGGTGTTCTTTATAAGCCAGTTTTTTTGGCAGCAAGAAGACGTTTCATGAGAACGTACATAAAATGTTTTAATAACCGATTTCATACTGTCAACAAGTAATTCCAGAATTAACAAGTTGAACTTTACCAGAGTTCGTGTATGTTCTTTCAGTCAGACCAAAAGATACGCATGTGTACTATGTTTTGCTTGTCTGTTTCAAATTTTAGACATATCAAATATACTTTGCATCTTGTATTCATCTTGCACATTCTTACGTGGAAAAGAACACTGGGTTTTAGCTACACCGAGATGAAACATTTGTCCGGTATCTGAAATTGCTTTTTTCTGTTAGCTTAACGTCCATCGACCATAAAACGCTCAAAAGTTGCAAGGAACGCAAGCTGTGTCTGTTGCTGAATGACTTCAACATAACCTAGTTGCTTTAAAACTGTTCGTTTCAGTTTAAACCAGCGACGAACACGTCACGAAGCGACCATGTCATTGATTGCCAATTTCTCCCTGAATCCTGACCAAAACAAAGTTTCTGTTTCACTATTTTGCTCCAATAATTTTCAGCTTTCGGTTCCCAGGTCGAAAGTCTCCCGCCATCATAGTTTAAACGACAAGAGTCGCGGTTTCGTTGAACCTCCATTCCACGGCAAATCACGGGGGGTCCTGGCTTCCCTGCCTACCCCTTATAACCTGAGTGCTAACCGTAGACATTCGCAATGCTAGTCCATATTGTTCCACTACAATAAGACGTCTTCAGTAAAGATTAAGACGCAACAAACGGCGACTAGCACATACCAGAGGATGTCCAAACAAGATCCCAAGAACGCCAGTGAAGTTCCTTTACAAATGCATCGCATGCGATTTTATTTTGGAGGCGAGTCCGGAATCCCCGTTCCCGGAAAACCCGAGCTGTTCCCGAATAGTGGCGAAGTGGGCGGCAATACGAACGAACTTTGTCCAGCGGCAGTCGGAGACAGTGGTATGCCCGAAAGCGATGTCGGGAAGGCAGATTGCGTGGGTGACATCAGCGGATTCATTCCTGCGTGCATACAGAAGGGATTAACCACTAGCGAGGTCAACACCGATATTCTCCTGACCATTTTTGACCTATTTGCTATAGTACTCCAACGGAGAACTTGGCTTTTAAGCCTTAATTCTTTCCTATCGGCCAATAAAAGTTTTTAAGAAGCTAACTTATACACTTACCGGTATCCATTTCGTTATCGTGTTCTAACCCATCAAGCTGTGTGTCGGGACTAGGACTGCAGAGGCCTGGAGACGACATAGGAGTGAAGGTAGATGCTAGAGTCAGCGGTCCCATGTCTGTATCTGGCAAAGATCAAGTAACAAATCGTGACCGTGGCTTCTCGCGTAGTTAGAAGGGTTTTTTTTTAGGATTCACGGAAAATCGAGACATGAAACCTATGAAAAAAGCGGGAAAACGTGTTTTCGGCCAAGAGAAATCATGGTCTCTTGATTCGGCCTAAAGCGCGGAAAAGGTAAGCGCGGGATAGCATGCAATCTATGAAAAGAGTGGGAAAAACGTGTGACGAGCAAAAAGCGCGGGAAAATACGTAGCCGACGGTAAGTGCGGGAAAACATGAAACCGCGGAAAGCGCGGGAAACTATGTGACAGGCGGTAAGTGCAGGAAAACATGTTGGCAGTGACAGCCACGAAAAAAGGGGCTAAGTTCGCTCTGGTTTGTTAGAACACGTTTGAAGTGTCGAGAGAAATAATTATCTCCGCCTCTCGTTCCTTCCCTACTAAACAGCACCCTCCTGTTGGCTTAACAGCTCTCTCTCCCCTCAGGGCAAAATAACACGGTTTTAAATCCCTAATTTGGCTGAAGCTCAATAGTTTCCTATTGTGATTATTTTAAGACTTCAGTTACCTTTAAACATTTCTTCATCGTGATCCATCGGAGCCGAGGGATGAAACGTCGGCGTCGGAGTAGGTGTCGGCATCGCTGGTGGCAAGTGTTCTTCTTCTTCCTCCAAGCTAGCAATAGAATCCTCATCAACAGCGGCGGGGATCCCCTGAGCGACACCCGATGGGTCTGTAGTCGTTGATTTACCTTAAGATGAAACAGTACAATTCAAATTAAAAAGTGCGTTTGCGACAAATAAAAGATTGTATGATATAGAAGCAAGACTTAGGTGAAGCGTTAGTTAAAGTTTGCCCGTATACCAGTGGTGTACAGGTTCAGACAAGATTTCCCAGTTAATAGTCGATGGCATCTATTGTCATCACAGTGCCTCTCTCCACCCGTGTGATATGTAATAATCCTATTCAGTACCCCCTACCCCTCGTTGATACGTCTCCCTCCTCGAGTGTCGTTTTTTCAATAAGCGCTACCCCATTGCTTAAGTAACATGATTAGACAAGTGAATCATGTCTGTTTTCTCAGCTAAACATAAAATATTGAACATAATGACTCGGAATAAACAACAAGGTTTTATGACCTTGAGAAACCCTATTGTTATACTATACCCTATACTAAGAAAAGAAATATGAAGCCCGTCCCAAGTAGAGCTTGACACGTTATGCCGGCATAACTTTGAGCAGATAAGTATGGTTGGAGTATCGAGACTAATGCTTGCATTATAGAACCATTTTGCCAGCACAATAGCACCATTTTGCAGTAAAACAATTCTTTTCGCATGTACAAAAAACACTTTCTTACCTGGTTTGTTTTGTGGTTTAGGCAATTCAAACTTGACCCACTGGTAATTGGTACATTTTCGTGCCCCGGGTAAGCTTTGAATCAAGTACTGAATGGTTGGATGAGAGAAACCGAAAAACTCTGGACCCGAACCAGTATTGGAAGCATCCCTACCTCTGTAAGGAGAACAAATGTCACACGGGTAAGTTAAAACAACGACATAAGGTGACCACAGGTGACAAGCGCGATATTTACCTGGCCTTATTGACCGCCTTGAGGACCACGCAGTGACAAGCAGTGGCAGAGGATGCAACGATTGGATGATCTGGGTCGTCTTCAGGGCACATCTCAAACTAGAATCACACAGAATGGATTACAGTCAAAAGTAGTATCGAGATTATGCAAGCAAGCAGCTTTACGGGCGGTTTTGTTCTCGTCAGAACCAGGGCGCTTTCGGCCGGCAGTGACCAAAGGGCCAACGCTCTGGACAAAATCAACAAAACAGAACCAGAAAATCTTGGTTCGGGTTTGATTCCGCGCATGTGTTCAAGTTCAAACATGGTTTCAAGTCATAAGTGCAATCTTAAAGGGGCTCAGTCACGGTATTTTGAGTTATTTTGGCCACATACAAAATTACCTTNCAAGACTTAGGTGAAGCGTTAGTTAAAGTTTGCCCGTATACCAGTGGTGTACAGGTTCAGACAAGATTTCGCAGTTAATAGTTGGTGGCATTTATCGTCATCACAGTGCCTCTCTCCACCCGTGCGATATGTAATAATCCTATTCAGTAACCCCTACCCCTCTTTGATACGTCTCCCTCCTCGAGTGTCGTTTTTTCAATAAGCGCTACCCCATTGCTAAAGTAACATGATTAGACAAGTGAATCATGTTGTCTGTTTTCTCAGCTGAACATAAAATATTGAACATAATGACTCGGAATAAACAACAAGGTTTTATGACCTTCAGAAACCCTATTGTTATACTATACCCCATACTGAGAAAAGAAATATGAAGCCCGTCCCAGGTAGAGCTTGACACGTTATGCCAGCATAACTTTGAGCAGAAAAGTATGGTTGGAGTATCGAGACTAATGCTTGCATTATAGAACCATTTTGCCAGCATAATAGCACCAAACAATTTTTTTCGCATGTACAGAAAACACTTTCTTACCTGGTTTGTTTTGTGGTTTAGGCAATTCAAACTTGACCCACTGGTACTTGGTACATTTTCGTGCCCCGGGTAAGCTTTGAATCAAGTACTGAATGGTTGGATGAGAGAAACCGAAAAACTCTGGACCCGAACCAGTATTGGAAGCATCCCTACCTCTGTAAGGAGAACAAATGTCACACGGGTAAGTTAAAACAACGACATAAGGTGACCACAGGTGACAAGCGCGATATTTACCTGGCCTTATTGACCGCCTTGAGGACCACGCAGTGACAAGCAGTGGCAGAGGATGCAACGATTGGATGATCTGGGTCGTCTTCAGGGCACATCTCAAACTAGAATCACACAGAATGGATTACAGTCAAAAGTAGTATCGAGATTATGCAAGCAAGCAGCTTTACGGGCGGTTTTGTTCTCGTCAGAACCAGGGCGCTTTCGGCCGGCAGTGACCAAAGGGCCAACGCTCTGGACAAAATCAACAAAACAGAACCAGAAAATCTTGGTTCGGGTTTGATTCCGCGCATGTGTTCAAGTTCAAACATGGTTTCAAGTCATAAGTGCAATCTTAAAGGGGCTCAGTCACGGTATTTTGAGTTATTTTGGCCACATACAAAATTACCTTTAAATGGTGGGGAACCTGAAAATAACAGTTTAATAAGATAGAAAAACACCAAAGAGATAATGATAAACTATAAAGGAACAAGGATGGCTAAGGATGGAGAAGATTGAC